CACTCTTTCTCTCTTCTTTCATTTCTCTCTTTTTTCTTTCCTTTCTCTCTCTTTTACTCTCTCATGCAACTGTAGTTTCTTTTTATGCATAAAGTGCACAGTATTGTGACACATGGTGCACTTTTACAATTGAACACAAACATAAATTTACCTTTTCCTTAGTCATCCAAAATACAGCACTTTTTGTTGGAAATATAATTTAATTGCCTTTTTTCCCCTGTAAAATCAAGGGAAGATTTGTGTATCTGAATGGTTGTGCACATCCAATCTAATTAATCTCTGTTGACAAATAACATAGCTGATGCACTGCAGATTATTTTTAGAAGCTGATAGAGGTTGGTTGCAAACTATTTTGCATTTTTAATATGTGGATAGAAAGTGCATGAGTAAGACATGCGGTAATAATATTAACATCAAATAGTTGCTTATAAACATTTTTTGCTTGAGAGGAGGGAGGGCTAAAGGAAAAGTTAAGGGAAAATGCAGCTGATGTAGACAAAATTGATTATTTGCTTGAATTTGATTGCTGTAATGAGCTTTTGACCTTGTCTAGGGCATGCAGAAAGTGCCAATACTGCAAGAGCACAGATACTGTTCTGATCCACACAGCAAATTATAATGTGGCATTTTACATCCCTTTGGGTTGCTTAAGCCATGTGAAATACCCATGAGGACATCTCAGTGCACTATACAGACAGAGGGTATACTACCAGGACTACAAATTGGATTTTATTGCTAGTAGGGAAAAAAACAAGCACATGCACACCCAAAAACAAACAAAAAAACCCAAACCAAAAACCAAACCCAACAAACCCACAAGCCAAACACCAAGAAAAGAAAAGGGGGAAAGAGCCATTAGAAATAAGAGTTAAAACTCTCTGAGGAATTTATCCACTGTACAATAGCAGCAAAACTGTATAGTCATCCAGCTGCTAACATCAATAAACATGAGTTTTCTTCTTAGAATTTATGTCAAGAGGAAATCAGAGGAGCATAAGCAGCAATACAAGCTTTTTGTGGATCTTAGAGCTACAAGTGCCTATCTGTAACTTCTGTAACTAACCTCTTCTGAGACTTGATTTCATTTTGATGGTCTCCAATCTCTTTTTATATTTGGACTCCCATATGAAACAACTTGGAAATTGTTAAGATGAATGCAAACATGACAATAGTAGTTCCCAGCACTAAGAAACGACCAAGGACCTTTTCAATGCTCTATGCATGCTTGAAAGGAATACCTATGATACATCTATTCTTAGATGTGTAAAAAAAATGCTGTATAGCATTGACTTTCTAGTAATATGCTGCTGATTGAAGCATAGCCATTATTACTAATCGTGCGCTAGCAAAATCACCATTTGTGCAAGTTGTAGACAGATTATGCCTGCCTGTCTTATTCATGACTTTACAGCATTTACATGTTTTTCTATTTCTTTCTGACACGTATTTGAAGGATTCTAGTGCAGCAGAGAGTTGACTTTTGTTTATTTCTGAGAGATGTCTTGAAAGGTTATAAAGACATAAATGTAGCCAAAACATACAAACAAAAAAGAAAACGACTGTACTAAAAATTGCAACCTTTGAATTAGCAAAGTGAGAAAGTATTGAAATGGTTTTAAAGTTCATTAGCAATAGATGCCTAGATTGCAACAGATCTTAAGTGCAGTGGAATTATTTGTGAGTTGGTTTTGGTCAACATTTACCCACGTCTGGCACAAAGCTGAAACGTTGGCCTGGAGAGGTACAGTCTCTATAGCCTGGCTGCCTTCCCTAAGAAGCCATGAGCAAACCAGTGCTTGACTTCTTTTATGATGAGAATGCTGCACTGTCTTTCAGCAGCTCATAGTTTGAGGGAATTTCATGGTTTTTGTAAAGCTGTCCTGTATATTTTTAGGCAGGTGGAAGAAGAAGGGTCTGAAATCTGTTTGTAGGTAGTTGAGGAATAGATCACCATTTCAGAGCTCCAAGGCAGGTGTGAGTCAGATCTTGAAAGAGTAAGCTCCAATACCATGTTATATGGTGACACGGGTACACTGTTGTGAAATGGGCTGACAGAGATGTTTGAAGAATAGTCAGCTTGTTCTCTAAGTCCTCAGTCCAAATTTGCTTGGGGTAAACAGTTTTGCAACCCCTGCGTTAAAACTGGGCCCGTGATGGCTGTCAGTTGAGAGATCCTGTAGCAGGACTTCTATGACACAAAGACCTGAGTAACCCGTTGGCCTTCAGCTGAGCTCTTCTGCTTACTTGTTCATGAAAGAAGCTGACTCCAAGTTTGGCATCAGCTTCCCAGTCAGCTGAAATAACGCAGACACTGTTAAGCCGTGATTACACGGTAGCCACAGCTGAATCAACAAGATTTGTCCAATAAAATACAGGATGGGGAAGGACGTTGCATGAAGCTCAAGAATGAATTTTCACTATATCAAAGAAAACATAGGTGATAAAATGGACTGTTCGTGTGAGTTGACAATCACTGACCATCAGTCAGGGAAATGAGCAAATTCCAGGAAGGTAAACTGGGCTTACCCCTAGTTTACTCTCGGACAATTCATTTGCCTGCCTATAGGCTTGGTTTCTGGCAGGAGACCAAAGCAATGCAGAGGCATTTTGTGACTAGAACTAGATTCCATGTCCACCTAAGTAACACAACAGCTGGCTTTGTGAGCCAAAGTTAACAAACTCCAGTATCAATGTGTGTGTACCACCCATTATACTACAGGAGCCATCGTAACTGAATGAATGAGTGTTATGTCGGCCTTGCTGGCATAGTAAATGTGCTGACGGTAGTGCAGTTTCTATTGTAAAGCCTAAGAAAGCAAGAGGAACACCAGGCCCATAAAATCTGTAACTGTTTTCTCCAAAGTCAGATGAGCAGATCCAAAATAATTCCCTTAAAATATACATATTTAGTGGTTCATTTAATAATTTTTCATCCACAGATACTAAGATACTAAAGGTTTCTGAACAGGAAGGAGAAACCAAAGCACAAATTACTTAAATATTCTGAGCAAAGTTTTGTACTAAATTTAAGTTAGTGCTATTGGAAAATCATTTCTAGTTTTCCCTATTCTGGTCCTGCAACTAATATTTATAGGTTTAGATTTGTAAATTCAAAATACGTGAACACTTTATAGTGACCTATAGTCCTTTATATAGTAGAATGATGCTTTCTACTGTATATGTATGTTTGTTGCCTGTTATTAGCTTTCCTCTCCTGTTTTCCTTTATGTATTCTAAAGCATTCATATAGCCATGAAAATTTTCTGCACGTATCAAGTTTACAGTCTTCAATTGCCAAAAGAATGTCACAGTCTTTGTCGTGCTACATACATGTGTGAAAGGACTGTGTGAGCAAACATGATACCTTCACACTTGCAGTTGTCTTTTGAACAAACGTAAAAATAGCTTTCACCCTCAAGGGCAGACGTTGCAGGATCCCAGGGTCCTGAAGTGCCATTCAATATCACACAGACTCAAATTTTGTTGAAAACGGGTTTATAGTGAAGAGTAATGGCAAAGATGCAAAGTGGCCACAGTACAGAGCCCACTGAGGCAGACATTCCTGAATTCTGCCATGCTGGATGCGTGTCCCTCCTCCCCTTTCCAGACTGGACCTCTTTGCCCTTGGGTTTGTCCTATAATGCTAGTTCGTCCATATTCCAGTCCCACTCCAGATATATATCATGCAATTTTGTGATGCTCTCTCCTGCAAGCACTTTTCAGTTAATTATTTGAGGGTTTTCCTGGGTTATTTTGTGTTTGTTTTTTCTTTTTTTTTCCTGAAAGCTAGAATTAAACACAAGTAAGACTTACTCTGATAAACTTCCAGGAAACATTCAGGGAAGAAAGAAAAAAAGCAGAGCTATCTTCTTGCTGTTACACAGACTGTAACCATGGACTTGCGTAAACAACTGGAGAATACTGAGAGGAACTGGAATAAAGAGAAGATGGAGTTGCTGGAGAGATTTGACAATGAAAGGAAAGAATGGGAATGTCAATGGAAGGTCATGCAGAAGAAAATAGAAGAGGTATTGTTAAACAAAATTCCGAACGCTAACATTTCCACTTGAGTCTTATCAGTGACTAGGAGTCGCTTCAATTTTTTTGTTTTCTGCATTATATCCTATTTCTTATCTCATTGGAAGTTTCTAACATCTCATGGTAGGATGTAAAGCCTGGGGTTAAGCAGAATTTGCAATTGCTTATTTCATACTCATGAATACGAAGCAGGAGGTTAAATGTCACTTTGTGTGAAGTTTGCTATGATATTGTTGGCTGTATATACTGCTGGCAGTTCTGCTGGGCATGAGCCACACTGCTCATTTTATACATGCTTTTTTCAAGTACAGACATGCTGAACAACTGCATATATGGGGTTTAGGAAAATGCATATTTAGTAACAAAAAATCTAGGTATCATCATTCTGTGGCAGAAAGGAATTACATGGCACAGGTGTACTGGGGTGAATGGTAATATTAAAAAGAATGTCATACATTAAATGCTGCATGATGCAGAGTCATTCTGACTAGAACCTGCTCCATTTGTGCATCGCTTTTAGCAGAGAAAACGGCTACAGTAAACAGCATGAAAGTCCTGACACCTCTTGTGTTTACACAAAGTAACAAACACTCTCTATCATTTCTAATGCATCCCCTTCCAGAAATAGTTTAGGTAATTAATTATTATTCTTTTATCCTCAGATTGTCACTGTAGCAGAACCCTCCGGCATTCTGTAAATGCATAAATTGAATCTGCCTTGGCAACATAGAGAAGCAAGTTTTTCACCACTGAGCTTTCCACATTTTTCATTCTAATATACACATGGAGTAGTTTTGCTTGCTCTCTGCCAACACCGTCCTGTGGCTGAGCAACACAGGAATGTATGGCAGAGATTGCTCACATGAAAGTATGAGAAGGAAAACGATCAGAGCCAAATGAATTGCAGCCATACACTGCCCGTTACCCCAGCCTGCAGCATAACTTCATAATGTCAGCTCTTTTATATTTTACCTGCAGTTCCAGCAGACTTTGGTATGAGAGTCAGCATTTTGTCTTTTGTGTTAGGACATTTCTGTGGTGTCTTACCCAATTTCACCACCAAGGTGAGAGTGCTTCAAAAGTTAGGAATGGGATCTGTGTGTGGAGTTGAATTTCAGTTTGTTAGGTATATGAGCTGTTTTGGAATGACAGTAATGTGTTGTGAAAAGGTATTCTGGCTATTAGTAGTCCTGACAAGGGCAGTGAAGACCATGTTTTTTCCATGTTTTTTATTAGCATATGGATTAGGAAAGTGTGACAAAGACAGAAAACCTGGAAGGGAGCTGAGGGGAAGAGAATGAAGCAAATCATTGGGTACTGCAGGACCAGACAAAACTTCAGATGATACCCCAATGTTATCGGTATCCTAAGGACCCTTCTTAAGCTGTGTCTATAGCTGCCCTTGATTTCAGTTGTCTGACATTTCTTTGCCAACATGGCTGGAGAAAAGGGGAAATACCTTTTAAAAGCCATCATCTGTAGAGGGATTTCCTTAATAAAAGTGGTGCTACCTTATCAACTTGTATTTTTATTTGGTAGTTTTCTCTAGCCCACCAAAACCTAACTTAATTCCTGGAATCCTACAGGAAGACCTGTGTGGTTTAGGAGATTATATTGTTGAGTCATGAAGTGGTATCCTTCCTCCTTACTGCTATGCTGAGTCTGGATGAGGCCCTCATTTCTTGGAAAGGACAGGTTCAGCCCTCGGGTTCCATGAGCAGCTGGGCTTTGGGAGTGAAATCTGAAAGCCCAGGATGAGGCCAAGTGTCAAGTCTCTGAACGTGAGATACTTCTAACCCACAGCACTACCCATGAAATGGCCACGTGTTCTTCATGTTGTTATTCCTGTTTGCTGTCCTTCCAAAAGCCGTTGTGTTGGCCTTGTGCACTGTGAGAGAGCAGGCAGACGGCTGTTCAAAGGTGCCTGCTCTGCACTTTCTTCATAACAGCAAGTTAAGAATGAATGTTTATAAAGAGCTGTGGGATCCTTGGCACTGGAAATGATACTGTAAGCAGAAGAGGGTTTTATGATGTTGCTATTTTTTCTAATTTATAATTTATCACAGTTCCTTAGTTGGAATGTGCTGCATAACAGGAATTAACACCTTTTCATTTACTAATGAAGCCACTGGATCTCAGCAGATAGCATGAAAGAAGATAAGAGGGTGACAGCACATTGCCAAACAATACCATTCTGCAGTACTGATTTATCACTACAGTCATAGGGAAGAATTCCACTTGCATGAGAAGCAGAAGAGCCTGCTCTAGTGCAGATGGCACTGTATGTGATGAGACTTCACTTCCCCTCCTTAAACTAATATACATTAACAGGCTGTAACATAGCCAGAGTCCCCTCCCTCCCTCACATTCCCTCACACTCCCCATCCATCAGACCAGGGCTGTGTCCACCACATAGTGGACTGATATTACTTGGAAGACAACCATACAGCTTCTGGCTCAAGGCAGGGCCATTGACCTTGAGATCTCTTCCAATCCCACGCTATGGGTGGAAGCCATACATTAAAACCATGGCAAAGAGTTTGTGAATGGTAACAGCCCTTTCCTCATCCTGTGACAATAACGGTCTGTGAACTATCATGCTGTGTGACTGAACACTTTTCTACTAACACATGATGAAATCTTTCTATTATTTGGTGCAACTGAGTGAAACATCGTTCAAAACAAGATGACTATGTTCTTTTACCATAAAGTTCATTTAATAGAAGGTTCTATTGTTTTTTTCAGCTTTACCAGGAGGTAAAACTTAGAAGGGAGAACAATATGAATGTCCATGATAATAAGGCCATTCAGAGCAAGATGATGCAGTTGTCCATTCATTCCCCTGCTTCGGAAGAGAGTGACACAGTGGAGCTGAACTATCAACACAATGTGGCAAATGACAGGATGGAAAAAGGGAGTTTGCTCTGTAAGACAGGACACGAATGTAAAGAAACCACAGCCAAGAGCAGAAACAATACTCTGTTAATGGACAATCTGGCCTTCGAGAACTGTGAGGAACCTGAAGACAGCCTCAGCATCAAAACCTCCAAGAAAAATGCCAAGAATTATATTGGTGATCTCAATGTAGTAAGTAAAGCATGAGCATGTTTCAGTTATGAGGGTGAGGGCAATACTGAGGGTTTTGCCTGCCGGGTTAACCCAAAGAACTGATCTCCCTGATTTCAGCTTTCCAGCAAGGCACTGTATCTACTTCCTCCTGGGTTTCCTATTGATGAGTATCTTCTCTGTGTTTAAATGTGTTAACAGCATGATCTTTACCTCCGTTCATAGCCTGGGGGCATTTTTGTATCTTTCCTTGTGCTACTTTCCTCTGCCTTGAGTCTTAAATGCAAATCACCACAAGTTTCAAAGAAATTCTGGAGATACCATTTAAAAGGCTTATGTTAAAGGACTGTTTTTATATTTATAAAGGCTCTTAAAGAACTTGCCAGAGTCAGTGAAGAATTATGCAGCTATCAAGAAGAAATTCGAAAGAAGTCCAACCACAGAAGGTAAAAACATATTTGGACATTTTATATTGGAGGAAGAAAATGAATAATGAGACTGTGTTCCTGTTCACTTTGAAGGAGGGTTTACTGTTGAATTTACTGGGAGTTGGGCAATATCTATTCTCCTAGTGTTTCAGTGCTGAGCATAAAATATTTGAATGAAATATTCTGAAATATGATACAAGGGCACATTTTACTAGCAAAATGGAGTTTATCTATGAAAGTAGTATTTCTATGAGATGAAATTGTACTTTTTTCTAATGGCTATATAGAGGACTAGGAAAGTGGACGGGTATTTCTGTCTGCCTTGGTCCCATTTCCATGCAGTTCTATACAACACTCTATGGCTTTGTTAGGCTGGAAGGTTTCTTACATTAAGCCCAGATACAGCTTTAAGTGTGGGGGATGTGTGAGGGACTGACAATCCAAGAGTGCAAAGAAGGCAAAAGAAGGAAGAACAACCATACATTTGTGCTAATGGAAAGGTGGTAAACCAGACCCTGAACAGTACAGCAAATGAATATTCTGCCATCTGTTAAAAATTCAATGTTCATGGTCTTCTTTAGCAAACTAAACACCAGTCTTCCTCTCGAATTGCGCAGAAATTCTCAGAAGGTAAGACTGAACCCATGATGTGACAGGGTGCACACCATGAAAGAGACTGAGAATGGGTATTTCTCAGCTATGCTGAGACCCCATGGAAATCTGCATCATGGCAAGGTCTTCTCAGGTGCTCCCAAAGAGCAGAGGGACTTCTTACACTCCCCCATGCAATCAGTTGGCTGTCTGTCACTAATTTCTGTTGTAGCTGGGTTAGTGTTTGTATCTTTAAAGCAAATAGATTCATAGCTGATGCATAGTTTCTAAATCCTGGCTGAGAAAGGTGGTTTTTGAACAGATCTCAAAAGACACATCTGTACTGTCATATGTAATGCTAGGAAACCTACACAAGGGATGCACTATGTCCTAAAGCTTTCTTCATTAAGTTCATAGTCAGGTAGACTCTCACTGGAGTCATTAGAACTCACAAGATCCCTACTCTCCTTACTGTAGGATAGATAAGAAAACAAGCAATCATCTACAAAAACTCAGAAAAAGAATTTTAGTGGCAAGTGAAAGGAACACGAGATTCGCTTTGTTGAGCTTTCTTCAAATTCTTCATGTGTGCTTCAAATACGCTGGCTGTATCAGCTGCAGCAAAACTGTTCCCAAATCTTTTTAAGCAGCCAGTGTTAAAACACCTGCTCATGGGGAGAATGAATCCATGCTGAGGTCCCCTGAGGGAATACCCTTATTGCTCATCCCTAAAACACCTCTTCTTTTATTTCCAGAATGAAGTCACTTCCTTTCATGGGGGAATTTGAGGAAACCCAAACCACAGTTATTCTGCCTGAGATGAACCATGTGTCCAGCAATGAATCACAAACTTCAGTTGCTTTTGAAACAGAGGAACATAATAATAGGAAGAATCTGATGACCTCCACCAAGACTTTGAAGGACATGTCTTATGGTAGTCTTACTGGTGACAGAGGAACAGACTTCAGACCTTGGCAAAAGAAAGAAGCTCCACCAGTTCCTCCACGGAGCACTTCTCGGCACCTAACAAACTCACTTTCTGCAGTTGTACAGCTCTCTGAAGCACCAATAAGAGATTCAGGCATCAAAAGCAATTGCAAGGCTCAGGACTGTAGGAGTGGAAGGAAACTGATGAATACTTCACCTATAAACCAGAATGAAACAGCAGCAGCCTGTGCAAATGAAGGGCAGGCTATGAAAGGTCCTGTGATCGTAACTGCCTCAATACCTGTAACCAAAAATGAGTGCAATGTACCAACAGGTTTCTGCCACAACACATGGGCCTATGATGTGGGCAAACTTGGAAAGGACAGTAAAAGTGAACCTTCTCCACTGTCAGCCCAAAAGAGCTGTTCAGATGGAAATATGGCCCAAAGCAACAAGATGCAGCAGAAACAAAATCCCAAGTCTCACAGCAGTCCTTATCACAGTAACAACTTTTATGCCCCTGCAACCCTGCACAATGATCTTTTGGGAGACTCTAGGTATATTTTGGGAAAGACCCAAAGAAATGAAACTTTAGCGGCAAAGATCGATGAGTTTAACCGCACTGTATTTCACACAGACAAACGTAACAATGCTTTGCAAGAAAACCAGGTGCCTCGAACAGCATCAGAAGATCACCCACCCTGTGGTCCACTGTGTGAGTCTGCTATTAGCAGGACAGAAACTGTAAATACATCTTGTGTTTCAAATCCCAAATTCTCCGCAGCAAAGGAGCAAGAAAGTAGCAACACCAGCAAAGCTGTCAGAACAGCAGGGCAACAAAAGCAAATAAATGGACTTCCAAATACTAGTGGTTATAGACACATGCTTCATGAGCATGACTGGAGACCAAGTAATTTATCCGGTCGCCCGCGTTCAGCTGACTCAAGGTCTAACTATGGTGTTGTTGAAAAGATTTTGAAAAACTATGAAAAATCAACAGTGACTTCTCCATGTAATGAAAAATGCTGCAAAGAGAAGTGTACACGGGCAAATTCTGAATTCACTGATGTGGGTTGCGAGACATTGAGTCAGTATTTAGAAATGCTCCAGATTGAGCAAGGAAAGCAAGAATTTCCGAGGAATTCAGCCAGGCATATTGGGCAGCAACTCAAGCAAGGAAAAGAGAAACAAAAGTTACCAGAGGTAAGGTTCATGACAATGGCAAGGACAAAATAATTCAGTTTAAGACCAAGCTTCAGATTCTAAAATGAGGCAGCCTAATGTGATATTGTGAATAATTACATAAAAATAGACACTTTAGGCCAGGATCTGGATGAATCAGGAGTATTTCCTCTGCAGACAATAAAGTTGTGGGAGGGCAGAAGCTTGTAAGTAAGAATAACCAGTGAAGACGTGTGCCAGATTCTGGTCTCTGCTGCTGTTGTGAAAAGCTAGATTTCAACTGCAGTGCAGTTATTCAAGGATTGAACTAGTGAAAACTGCAATTAGGTTTTAACTCCCTCTCTCCTTCCTTTACTTGACGAGTTATTTCATAAGCCTTCCCAAAAGGCTCAAGCACACTCGGCCGTGTCAAAATCCTAGAGGGCTTAGATAGCATTCGTCAGCATCCAGGGTGCTGCTTGGTTCAGGATGTCCTTGGAACTGCCTGTGAAAAGGGGTATTGTATCTCCATAAAGGGTCCAGTAATAAAGTGACTGAGACTCATGTCTCAGTTCTAGGCTTCTCCTATATATTCCAGCATAGGCTCACAGAAACAGAAGAGGATGGCGTGACTAATTAATTTATATTTGGCTGAATTTTATTTGCAGAAGTTTAGAAATATTGCCTTTGCCAACATTCTTTCTCAATGAAAAGAGAAACATATGGTTTTGAAAATATACTATAAGTTGCAGGTTCTGTAAGAGGCCACAAAGAAAGAAAAACCATTTTTCCTGAAGAGATCCTTAGCCAACAAACACAAAGAGGTATGCCCTTAACGTCTCAGAAAAGAGAAGGCAAATGTGTTTGGAGCTCTGAAACTTAGATGGGTTCAGACTGTCAGCTGATATGCCTTAAACTGTCACAAATTCACAGACTTCAGTGGAGGTATGTGGATTGAAACAGCTGAGACTCTGACCATGCAGACTTTCTTCTGCTTGTCTTTCTGACAGCCTCGCAGTGATGCAACATCTTGCTTAGCAGACGCATCTTTGCTACAGCACAGAAAGAAAAAACCATGAAGCTTCCAATTTCTTTTTCATCCAATGAACTTTTGATAGGAAAACAAATTTTCATCAAGGAATATGTAGGGAAGAAATAATGACTAGATAATGACTGAGTTTACATTGATGCTCACACTTTATGTTGTCATTTCTATCCGTGCAAAGTAAGTGTAGAACATTGGCTGATTAGGGTGTACCATTTTAGGTCCAGCAACATTCACGTCAGAAAGATGTAAAAAACTACACATGGCATGGGGCATTTGGCATGGGGCATTTGGTTTATTTTCATTATTTCCAATTTACTTCACTGTAGCTATGATCAAAATCTGTTGATTTTCCTGTGTATATAAGGCTCTGTATGTAGAGATGACACTGCATTAATAGATAACGATTTTGAATTAGTTACCAAGTGTAAACGGCTTCATGTTGCGCTAATGGAAACAGAGTTCTTAGCCAGATGTGACTGCTGAAATAGGATCTATCAAAAAATACCTGAAAAGTATGTAGATCATACTCCAGTAATGCAAGATGGTATTCTGAGTTCTACATTTAGAGCAGTATACAGTGTTCATTGACAAAAAAACCTTCCAAAAATGAAAAGAAATGAGAAGTGAATGTCAGTTTTGGCTTGCATTAACATTTTATACCTTTCCTTGTGTCAGACACTTGTCTCCATATATTTTAAACCGCAACCGACTGGAGAATCCCTATACATAGCAATAGCTGTTCTTTTGCATTCTGTGCATTACTGTGCTCCTTTTAATAGCGTCAGACCACCTGTTCTGAGGTCACTCCAAATGTCTTCCTACATTCCCGCTGCATTCCACAAAAGCCATAACTTGTTAAAGCAAGGAATTGCCTTTGTGTTCTAGGTATCTGTGCCAGCTAAATGTTCAAGTGGGAAGGGTTTCTCCCGGCCCGCTCGGCCAGCAAATCGACGCTTACCTTCCAGATGGGCATCCAGATCACCGTCAGCACCACCTGCTGTGAAAAGAACAGCGTACAACTGCTCTGTCTCCTTTCGGTCAGAGACCTCAGTAGTCTGAACCCAGAGCTGGGTTGGATGGTGTTGTGAAAGCTCTACGCCTCATTGTAACTGTGTTGGGTACGTGTCATAGCAACCAATTCTACACTGTTGTATCATGTCCAAGAGTGACCCCCACCACATGCCGGACAAAGCATTTTGAATCTTAGGTCATCATCACCACAGTCTTCAGTGTTTTTATTGAGATGAAATAACTATACCCCTGGTTTTCTCTGTTTTTTTAGTAATAGCTCACAAGGAATTTCTTTTGAATGGCATCTTCCTTAATTTGCCAATCAATTTTGAGTTGAAACAATGTATAGTGCTGTATATTCTGACTCTTCTGCAAACAGCAGAACGTAAAGCTGTATGCATGACCATGTGTTCGTAGGTGCATGTGTTGGACTAGGAAGTATACAGGTCTGTATTTAGAAGAGACAAACTGTGCTAGTGTTGACATTGAAATTACAACCTATATGCCTACATATATATATACTTTGTGTTTATTTTAAAAAGTTTGAAATATACAGTCCTGATGACATTTATATTTTGTATATCTTTTACATAGGTTCACAGGTGTAGTATTTAATGTACAAAAACTAAATATGCATTTTTGTGACTGATTGCAGCGATAATGCCTTGCACAATATGTATCTGAAGCAGACTAGCTCGACTGATTAGTCAGTCATGCTTCATGGCATCCTCATTTGGTTTCCTAACCCTTATGATGCTAGGTCAAAATACCCAAACATATTTTTTCTGAACTAAAATATTATATGATTTGTAATACATTAGCCTTTTTCAGCACCAGAGACATTCCTGAAATATTGCAATCCCTTTAAAAAGCTTAAATGTGCCATTATATATATAGCATACTGTAAACACTTCAGTAGTTTCAACTAGTGTAACATACAATTTATGAAGGGAAGAAAAGGGTTGTATACGCTCAATTCTGTAAAACTTATTTTGCCTTCTAGGATTATACTTTGAGGTTTGGCAAAGTCAGATAACAATGGGCTTGTTTACTTTCACTCAAGGAAGGAGAACAAGGGCCGTTGTTGTTCCCAGTGCTGCAGCCACACTCCTTTTTTACTCTTCTAGACTAGGGTGCCTGAGCCACTTGCTAACTCACTGCTCCCGGACTGACTCGTGGCAGTCAGTTACGAAGTTTACTTGCATTCTGGCAACAAGTTGCATCTAGTATGGAAATATTGCATTGAGATATGATCACAATGGTGCCCAAAATCCTAGATGCATGGCGTTGGAAGTACGTTTTTTGCCATCACTTGACTCAGTATTATGGGCTATCTGAATGACGTGCGCAGAGCCTGGCTTATTCCTTCCCAGAGCGTGAAAGAAATATGGATACTACCCAGAATCTTGCTGAACTTTCAGAAAGACGGTGTCCTTCATCCTGGAATTTTTGCACCCTTCTCTAGGTCGTTACTGGATGCATAGTGCGGTGATGATGATAAATGTTACCTTCAAACAGCATGTCTAGGGTAAAAGGAGTAAAGAGGCACTTCTTCAACATCAGCCTGATCTTGTCTTGCAACTTTTCTTCTTCTCCTGGAGAAACATAGTGTGTTCAAAGGAATTTCCAAAATCATCCCAGGATCCATTAATGTGCACATCTTCTTATGTGAATGTAAAAAGGATTTCAGAGAGAGTGTAGGCTTTTGTCCTAGTGAATTGTATGTGTGGCAATATAGGGAAAATTAGTTGTGCTTAATTTGATAGTGATCTATTGTCCTATTCCCGTCATGTTGAGAATCCATACCTTTTTCCTTCCTTTTAGGGTCGCCTTCTTTCCTCTGCACAACTTTGGTTTGGCAGAGAGAAAACAGGAGGCCATGCGTTCTGAGCAATACAGCCTGTATGGTAATATCAGTAACTTTTCAGGCACGCCAGTATTGGAGCAAGCAGGCATTAGAGCCATGAATCCCACCTTATCACACCAGTGGGGCTGCCTGCATGGCAAAAACATGCTCGGAGTAATTTGCCCAATCTAGACTTCTGGTTCTTTCTAGGTGTCAGTAGTGGGAAATCCCACAACAATTTACGAAGGCTTCAAACAGATCAACAATTCATCAAAATTTACTCAGGCATTATTGCAAAGTTATTACTGGAAAAGATACAAGGACAGAAAATCTTGAAGAAAATTTGTACAGTTTGGACAGAGACAAAATTCTGTGTGCTTGAGTGAAAAATCAAGAGTACTATGAATTTGCCTGTTTGCCCTAATTTAGAGATTGCACTCCATTAACTTCCTTAGAACTAGAAAAATTAGAGATGATTCATAATGAATTTGGAACATGGCTTAAGATTCTAGTTAACTGTGGAAATTAGCAAACCCAAATGCCTTGCAAATTGACCTTTTAAATGCCTAAGTAGCTGGGCAGCTTTAAATACCTAAGGCTGAGGAAAGGGTAATATGAGAGAATTGTAAAAAGATGGTTCTTAATTTCAGTCAGTGTTGACCGCAATAAAACGTCTTTAGGTTACCTTCATGGTAAAGTTAAGCAGTTTCATTCTGAAAAATGGTGGTGCACTTTTGTTTGAAGTATGTAACTACGAAAGTGTTTCCCTCGATTAGTCAGTGAAGGTGTTTCTTTAGTTCCCTTCAGTTTCTTTGATCGCCTTTGACATATATCACATTGTTGAATAAGAGAGAAAGAATCAAATACCTACAACATTCCCTGATATATGTAAGTTTAATGAACAGAAAGTTTTTGAAATAAACTAATAGGTCAAGGACAAGTCCATTTTGTCAAGGTTTTCTGTGTCCGTCTAATTACAGACATGGGTTCTGATGCCCAAAAGTATCAAAACTGGTGATTTTGGTCTGCAGGTGGCTACTTGGACATACCAATTTTAGAAAATTGCCACTGACACTGTTTAAATATTCTCTTCAACCACATCCATAACAAGGCTAGTGCACTGTGGTGAATGTTTTAGTTCCTAGAACTGTGATTACTGAACGATACTAATCGCTTTATTGCACTTATTTGCTATAGGGGGAACAGCTCTATTGGACTTTCAGGTTCCCCATGTTATCTCTGACAAGGAAATATAGTTACCTTGGAAGCTCTGAAGCAAGAGACTCTACACACACACGCACGCGTGCGCGAGAACCACAAATGATCTAAGTGTAACTTGACCTTTCTATTAATCCTAGTGTCACCTATGGAAGCGGTGAGTTTTGTAAGCCTGTTTTTAAAATAGGTTTTTAATATTATTCCTCCATATGCTGTCTAAAGTCTTAATGCAGCTATAAGTTCCTCTTGTGCTCTGAACAAGTCTAAGACTCTCTTTATTGCACGTTTAATACTGAAATAAATGCAGCGGGTAGTTTTCAAGCTCCTTGCGCACACAGAGTCAGCTGCCCATTGAAATGGGGATGTCACTAGGAATCAGCCGGCTGGTACTCAGTTGACAGAAGGCATCGTTCTCCCTCACACTGGGAGATGGAGCCATCATCTGTCCCTGAGACCCTTTCAGGAGCATGGCAGGGCAGAAACACATAGAGAAGAGTCAGTTAGACCTTATTTACATAGGCAACATAGCAGGCCACCTGAAGGCTAGAAAACTGGCCTGACTCAGAGCCTCTGCTAGAGGAAGAAGGAGTAGAGGAAAAAAAATTGCCTTTAAAACCTCTGGATGTCGTTCCTCAAACTCAGAGTACATTTCCACTAAACGTTTTATCTTTCCAGTGTTAGTGACAGACTTCTTATATATCTTTAAAATGTTACTGAAAGGATGAACTTTGCTTTTCTCCAGCAACAACACCATTATCTTTCACTATTGCACATACTGTAAGGGAGTTAGCTGTTATATATAGCAAAGATTTGGCAATCAGTGTAATATAATTTTCCAGAGCATTCAGAGCACCAATTTATTTCTCTGGTTGTCTATTTTAAAAAATGTTTCTGTAAGTAGGGATTTGGTATCCAAATGTCTTCAACAGCATTTTAGCAAAGACCTACAGCAACCCAGCAGGCAGGCCATTTCCTTTAGACTTTTGTTATTTCTGGACCACCCTAAATTTCCTAGCATGCAAGAACTTATGCAATTCTCACAGTGCTGCTATGCAAAGAATTTCTTTGGCTTTGAGATCTGTAATATACAACTCTAGCCATTATATTGCTGGTATTCTCTATTGGACTAATCTGTAACGGTGTCTTTGGTTGTGTACATGCTCTTTAAACTGGAAGGCAGAATGCATTTGCTCTAAATGCACTAAATCAAAGCCCCTTGTTGCCTCTGGTCTTTCCACCCCTCCTCAATTCCCAGTGGATGTATACTTTTATGTGGTTTATTGCCATTGGTCTATATGTATATGCCATACCATAGGCCTTTCTATTTGTACTGCCGTCAAAATATTTTTTGGACAGCCTATTCTAAAAAGTGCTGATATTCCTATTGCCATTCACTAATATATTAGATCTTGATCTATTGTTTTGCATCACTAAAAATGCACTTTCTTCATTAACTGTTAGTGGTATACGTTATACAAAACTTGTGCTCTTGTTTTTTGAAATGACGATTAATCTGCTTTTGAGGTTTGCTTCCACCCCTCTCCCTCGTACCTTGTCTGTTCTGCAAAGTACTTGCGTCAGCAGAGATGTGTTTCTGATGTGTATGGTTGATCCAATTGCTGTGTGGCTACGGGAGCTCATACCTAAGGGTGCCTTGCTAACAATGTTACTCTCAAAAGAATTGTATCAGAATTTCCATGGGGTAAGAGAGATCGAACCCCTCAATATGATCAAAGTGAAAGTGTGCAAATAAAAATCAGAAAGAAAACAGAAGAATCAAAGAGGAGGGTGCAACACTTGTAGTAAATGTTGTGGCTAGTTCTTTGCTTCTAAGGGAAGATCCCTCTGTGCTGCCTACTTCATACCACCTGAAACTTCCAGTAATGTACTGTCTTTTTTCAATCAGCATCTTTGCATGTACACTTTCCCAGCTCTGTGAGCCCTTAATAGCAAGAGATACTGAAGGGATGATGTTAGTAATGTCGGGTTAATACCAGTCCTTCCTCTTCCTATATTTGATGGTATGGTGGTTATTGAAGAACGCTTAAGTTTCATTTGTTAATCCTTTCTGTGGCAGCAGTCGGTTTTATCAGCAGGTCCATGATGGTGTTCACAGCATGAACATTATGGAATGCACAACATATTGTGTTTTCCACCCGCGCCGGATTCCCAGCGCTGCACAAGGGCACACTCTGTCACGCTGCTGAAATGGGGAGATTCCTGGAATATAAATGTGAACCAACCTTGTGCCTCAGTACAACAAGGGCCAGACTATACCTCAACTCCACTGGTTGTGCCAGGCAGTGCGACTAGAGTACAAGCAACTTCAGTCCTCGGTACAGGATGTTTTTTAGCACACTGGGACAAAAATACTATCTTATGGGCTTTTTTCTGGAGGGATGGATGGTTTTTACCCCACTGGGACAAAATTACAGCCTTATGCTCTTTT